GGAAAGTCTTGGGACGCTAAAGTGGGTATGTCCTGGTGGCCGAAACGTAGTACTAATATCGATGTTTAGATAACTCAAGAGGTTAGATGGTTAGTTAGGCAATTTTTTGCAAGTGTAATTGGGTGTCTCTATGAATCCACATCCCCTTAACACATTTATCGTCAGCAGGCGAGTATTTCGTCGGTCGGAGATGTGACAACTAATTTAACAATGCCTGTGGAAAAATCCAGCAATCAAACTGCCGTTCCGAGTCTTCGCAAATGTCGTAATGAATCAAAGTAGTGTGGAAGAACATATACTGGTAACACGCAGAGCAGAAAGGTCGCTACCATGACTCATGAGCCAAGTCAGAAAGTGCAAGTACTGCCTGCAGAGACTAAAGTACCCTCAAAGTTAAACTAAGTGTAGAATCACCGCATAGTACGTTATGTAACAATTGCTCCCTTTAAATATATTTTATCTGTTTCACATATCACACTTATCCAGTTGTTTTCCTGATTATTGTTTTTCTCTATTTGTAGATATTTATACACGATTGTGACAGTAAAACGTTTCAGTTTAGGGCATCCTTTTATGGAATTTGTTAACTTCGGGAGTTGATTTTTTAAATCTATTAAGAGCTACTTATGGTGGTTTCAAATACTATGTTCTTCAAAGAAAAGTCAAAGTTTTTACATTATGTTTAGTGAGCTCAAATTCAGTACTAAGTAATGTGAGAAGTTATTTTCAGACGATATAGTAAAGAGCGTGAGCAATGGCAGTATCCTAGGCGATAATAAAGCAAACATTGGCTGAATACGAAACGACAATAGGCATTTTAAATGAATTTAAAACTGACTTATTTTATGGCAACATTCAGTATTCAACACAAGTCAATATTTTGAATGCGTTAAAATGATTGACGCTTTCCGCACGAGTTATACGAGTTTGACTAGATTAAAGACCTTGGAGCCAGTCTTGCATTTCTGCTGTAGGGTGGAATGAAGTTATTTAGCGTTGAAATATCGTATTTTTACGGCACAGAAGCAGAATAGTAAAGATGACATCCTTAATGTGGTTCGACTCTAGCATCATTCAGGGCCTACAGTGCTCGGTCGATCAACTGAAACGGCTGGCCACCGCTGACTATGCCATGAATTGACAAGCAAACTGTTACAATGGTAATGATTAGTGGGAAGTTGACCGCTCATTGTGCGGTTATGTGGTATTTGCGAATGAAGCCAGCCAAACATGAGAGTCGCGCTTGAATACCTCATTGCTCCATTCGCCAAACATTGAGTTGACCGCTACTGCATGATTTATAATTTCCAAAAACTGTGGAGTACCTCCTACACCTAAAAACATCTCAAGCTCCTTGCCAGCCTTAATAATTTTGTGTTCTCTTGATTCGAATATTGCAAGACGCAATTTTGTTCCATAATTTGAAGCCGAATGGTTTACATTCTAGCAAATTAGTTAGATCCAAGAAGACACGCTTTAATAGCATTTTCAATAGAAGTTCATCGACTCGAAGTTACCCTTTAAGATAGTTCACGTAAAATATCTTGAATTAGCTCCCTATTTTAGAATGCTAAATCGAGTTTGTGTTGGCAAAAGAGCGCCACCGAGATAGGTAGGTCCACCATCACTTGTTATTGATTCCTTGTATTAATACTCTAGGAAAAATCCGGCTCCATTGCCAAAACTTCCAGTGAAATTATTGCTTTATCCTAGTATCACCATGCCAATTTTTTTTGCATTGTGTTAGTTTATTGTTTAATTTATTCGTTGATATAAATAATATAAGGGATACGAGATATTAGCCTTTAAACCAGTGCTTTAAGAGTCTTTCAGAAGGCAGACTGGCCGCATAAAATTCACAGGTGCATTGAAACATCATTTGCGACGCCATACTTCAATGTTAGCAATGCCAGCTCTTGAATTGCAGGAATGTGGAGTGTTCAAACACGGACTAGACATTAAATGGGCTTAAAATATAGGGTTAGACATTTTAAAAATTAGTAGTTATTTGATTATAAACGTTATTTCCACTTTTAAAGACTAACAACAACTATCATATAGTTACCGAAGTTCACGACTAATCATTGATCCTTGTCAATAGAGCAAATTCTTCGTATCACTTTCATGCGTAAATTATTACACAAATTAATCAAAATACATCAGTCATTAATGCTGAATGATCCTTTTAATAATGTAGGACTTAGTAATTTCAGTTACTTGATTGACACAAGCGGGCATTCTTTGCTCATGCGCCATAGTAAGTTGCCATTTCTTCTAACCTGGGGGCCTTGAGCTTCGACGGTACGTTACTATGTCGTGACTTCGGGGGAGGCCAGGGTCACCACATAACTCAGCAGTGTGTCAGTTGGAAATCAGCCTCCATAGTTCATACGTCTTATTCCCTTAATGTAGCATTAATTCCCAGTAGTCTTTTTATCCATTCAACTGCTGCTCAAACTAAAAAGGCATAATCTTCACACCAAGAATGCCCTACAGCTATTTAACTGATTCCTACTCAACCAATCCTTTTGAATTAGGTTTCTTTACAACTAATTATCATCATTATCATCAGTCACATCTATGACTCCCGGTTTAGGTGAGCAAACAGAGGTGTCGTCTCTGTGTGTCGCTAGATCCCATAATTAAAATCACGTCAAACGTAACAGTGGAAATTTAGGAAACGACAGTGAAATGCTTTATTTTGACGCGGTAATTTATACCCTGGATTTTGGAGTATCAGACCCATTTTTAGATTCCCTACGAGGATTGTGACGGAAAAGTTGGAAATAGTTTCACCGATATTGGCACTTCGCAGCCCCCTCAGTAGCAGTGGCTCATTGAGGTTATTACCTAAAGTTGATTGGCTATAATCAGTGTTAGGGGCTGGCGCGTACCTCCAGGAGCACAGTCGCGCGGCCTGACATTTGCGCAAGCGCAGCGCGTGTGCACGCTGTGGGGGCAACCAATCAGGGAATTCGGTAACCACTGTAGCACGCACTTAAATTCCGAGTACGTCCGACAAAAGAAAAGCAAGACCTACCACTGGAGAAAGAACCATGAGAGGTCCGCCGCAGCCGACGCATCTGCTGCTGCTTCTCGCCTTGCATTGCACTCAGTGCACGTTGCGAGTGAGAGGAGCTACACAGCCAGTCATGCGCATGGACAAAAGTGCCACTGGTGGCACTTTCCCCTATAACCCCTTCTATGACGGTACGTTGGCGCACGGCCACTGTAATAATGTTTTTTCAAAATAACCCCAATTTTGTCGCATCATTAACCGCAGAATGGCATGATGAATTCTGCTTGATAGTAGCATCAACAGGATCTACCACAACTTTTAGTTGTATTTGATAAATTTATCTAATTATTGCGTGGATTTATAGCTTTGTATTACCTCAACACTTCTCCAAAGTCCTTTGCCAGTCTCCAGCATCTGTTAAATGAATGAACTGTAATGGTCTAGGGAAACGGTTTTGCCGTGTCACAGACTCTTTGAAAGGTGAAGATGCGTTCAACTAATTGAGAATGATAACAACATGTGCGGCGTGGAGAGCTTTTCAATTGAGCGCATATAAAATAGTAAAGATTAGGCAATGGGAGGCTCAAATGCAGGAACAGTTAATGACCAAATTGTAACGACTTCGTAGTACTTTATTTTTTTAAAGGTAACTGAGGGAAAGATTCGACAGGGGAGTTATTTGCTCCTCACCTTCAGGAGTTTTGCACCTGATTGGTATCGTGAAGTAGCAAGATATGGTGATAGTTACCGGTAGGCCCAAATTCACACTAATTTGGGAAGCGAAAGAAATAGGTTTGGAAACCAACGTATAAATTCACAAAGTGCAAATTAAGTGATGGCAACTTTGTGAGGAAAACGCAAACGTTATAAGAAAATGAGTTTGTTGTAGTCATATTTTCCTCGTTAAACCTGTAATCAACGGAATTCATTATTGAAGTCTTAATCAAGGATTATGAATGACTAAATTGCAGAACAAAATTTTGCGTAAATGAATGGTGTTACGTATTTAATTTGGTTGAAATTGAAGTAGGATAAAAAACTACGTAAAGAAATGTGAACATTCACTCCAAGGCTTAATAGATTCAGTAAAAAAACGAGAAACTTTTAGTGCAATAACGAGGAATTTTCCGTCCAAATCCCTTTTTTGTATTTTTTGATGGATAGTGATGATTTTAATCAAAAGCATTACATAGATACGTTTAGAAAACACCAACGTGAAAATGGCGCTATAAAGCGGAATATTTCTGTCTTAAATCCTATTCTAAGCTGAGCTGAATGAGCATTGGCTGTCCGACGAAAAGTGAGGGAGGTGAACTCTGTGTTAATGTAGTTACGTTCCTTTGAAGTGATGGTAGATGTAATTAATATTGACAGATCTTTGTTCAAAATAGTGGATCTTAGGTGTGCTATCCTGTGACCCATGACATGGGTCTACGTGCAGTAGCCCTAGGTAGGTAGTTCTCTGTGCTCATTTGAATTTTAAATGAGCGGTTTACAAAAATTCGAACACCGATACCAACAATAAATGACGTTAGCGCTCAGACAAATCCTTTTAATAACGGCGGTGAGCCTTTGTTTGATGAATAATGTATACATATCCCTTAAAATCGTAGGAGTTTTCAAAAGCATTAATCATTTTATTGGATTATGTTTCGAGGTTATGAAACCCAAGGAACCCCAGCTGTAGCCATTTTATGCAAATTAAACGAATCTGAAATTGGACAGGTTCGGTGTAATTGTGTAATATCCAACTGTCGACTTAAAAAGGGAATTTAGAGCACAATAGTCTATTTGCGGAAGGTATAAGGCGGCATCGTTAAGCAAATGAGTCCAAACAATTACCTATTATTTTTCGAAAACTTCCATAACATCAAGCTAATTTCTACGCCTGCGTCACAGTCTTGTAACCGTTTTAAAGCGTGTGAACAGGACGATCCTTTGGGAATGATCTCCGGTGCCATTACTGACGCCCAAATATCGACCTCCTCTTACATCGAAGAGGGCGGCTGGGCGATCAGCAAGTGCGCGCCGACAAACGCTCGGCCCTTCCTCGCCAATGGACTAGCTTGGTGTCCCAAATACAAGTCCTCCACGGAGTGGCTACAAATAGACCTAGGAGTTAGGGCGACGGTGCGTTTAGCTCTCAAGTACTCCTCTCATTTTCAATCTGTTGACACAAATGTGTAAAATTTTCCAAACGTCTTTTTTCTGAGTATGAGCTGCGTCATTGAATAGGCACTAAGTCTTTACGTTATTCAAGAATAACAGATATAGTAAAGCATAGAAGCGTCAAGTTTTATCCAACTGAAGTTCCTTTATGCTACGTTTGTCAATTGTTTTATCCGTCAGCGAGCATACATTTCCTTAATAGTTAATAATATTGATTAATTAATTAGTTAATCAACAGTAGTTTAATGGAGGTAAATCGTTAATCGACACTGCGGTATAGGACAGGGGGATTGATGAAATAAAGCGCTCATCGAGTGGAGGCTTTTACGAAAGAACGAAAGCGAAAGGTAAGTAGTTCAGAAGAAAAGCCTCGTGCTTGTTTTGTGTAACGAATATTATCACAGCATAGCAAAAGCAAATAAAAAAATCGAATAACCCGACACATGGAATTACTGTGAGCTCGACTATATAATCGTTGCTGATGCTGCAGTTGCTTAACGAAAATAAATCACGAAAATCTACTTTTAATCATGTAATCATGCTTTTCAGGTAGTCACCAAAACAATGAGTGGGAGGATTATGATTGAAAGGTACACATGACTTTTCCCACATTCTCAATAGTTGCAATATTTATTTACGTTTGATATGGGCAGTGTAATGTCTCTTGCCGTTTTGAAGCCAAACTTGATTAACCAACGTCATTAAAGTGGCCACAGGAACATAGATGAATATGTATCAAATGGATGTGCGGTTGGAAAATTCGCATTGGTGTTTTGAGCGTAACTGCGCTCCAGCAGCCATAGGCCTTCTCACCGCCGATTTAAAGTTGAAACTTTAACCTTCACCTCATGAGCATAGTCGCATTCGATTCTAGCGCATAGCTGTTTGACCGCAATTTGATTAAATGGGTGGGAGATTAACTGCGGAAATTGACGAGGATGCACTAAGCTACGCTGATGCCTGCTAAAACACGAATTCCTGCTCTTTAACTAAGGCTTAGATGTGTTTCTCGTCTCTCATTGTGTTTTAGTAAACCGCCCATCAATTAATACCAAGTTCTGTAATAAGTAAATTAAACAATTGAGGCGTTTTGAATAGTTTTATTATCAAGCCCCTTTTATTCTGCAGGTGACCCAACACGGCTGCTGATGGGGTCTCAGAATTGACAAAGTAATTAATCCATTGCACGTTAGACCTATTCCACACAGGCTATTTTCATTAAAATTCTAGTATTTGCGAAGAATGCCGGTTGAAATCCACACACAAACATGTAGTCGATCAATTAATCATGATATCCTCAAAGGTAAAAGATATTGCCGAATTTTAAAATGACATGGGATCGTCGAAGCCACCTTTGGGCATTTTTTACTCACTTAAAGTGTGGTCATTCCTGCGGATGACATAGGCAGCACCCTATCAGCCGCACGTGTGGCTCGTACCGTCGCAGGCGTGGATTCACTCGACCTTTTCTACTAATGCAAGCAAACCAGCTTGGGTGGATTTCTTGCGTGAATGCTCGCCAAGGCCGGAGTTCATCAGCCTGCATAGGATTTCGCTGTGTTCCAAACATGCTTTGTACTTTGACTTCACCATTTCGACCCACATCACTTTTCACGTCATCCAAGGGCAAATTGGCCCAGACAAAATATGCTTTTGAAATATGTGCCCGAGGTCTGTTTCAGTGGATTTAGTATCCTTCAATTCCTATTCATTTTCGAGGTATGAATTTGGTGGTTCTTCAGCGCATACAGGAGCGAAACTAGTGGAAATTGGATTATAACATTCTATTGCTAGGAGTTTTTGTCTTTATTTCCGTCGTTGAAGTCTTTGGAGTTGTAAACCTGCTACTTAAAATTAGTATATCATTGTGACACAATCCTATGTCGTCAACGTATGTCATATAAGACCCATAGTTTCAGCTATTAAACTACTAAATTTAAAATAATTTGACAAAATACTGGTGCCCTCTTCCAAGACTATCATGAGAAGGACTGGAGTTGTAGAGTATCCTAAGTTTAATTAGAACATGAGCAGACCACATGCTGAATTAGATAGTTGATATATGGACTTTAACAAATTTCAAAGATCTGCAATAATTTTGAATGAACTTGTGTTTATTTGTTAGAAAATAGGAGGTTTAATTTAAGGCATAACTTAGTTGATGGGTCTTAAGAGTCGTCAAAAATATACAGGAAGATACTCTAAATCACAGCCGGAGCCTTTGAGACTGCAACAGAGGTAATTTACCCATGCCTTGAACACGATTGAAGGATACCCAAGTGCTGTTATTAAGAGGGTTTTTGAATTATAACCTCCCTGCCTCAATTCAATGAGGTTTATGGATAAGAAGCTCAAGTTACTCGAAATAAACCTCTGTTTTTTTCCCTAACCCCTTATCTTCACGTTTTAGATAACTGGTGTGCTTTTACAAGGACGAGGAGATGGAGATGAATGGGTAGCTTCATACACACTCTCCTTTAGCGATGATGGAGTCTTGTGGAGATTTGCTAACGATCTTTACCATAATCAAAGGGTACGGTGGTGGTTTTGAATATGGCTAATTGCCAACTGAATGATTTGTGGCAAAGTAGGGGTCTGGTGTATGTTAAGGTGGCCTCAGGGATAGTATCAATAAGGTGAAATCTTAGACAAAAAATGAATCACATTTTTATCCCTAAAATGAAAATCATTTGTTAATGCTCTTAACTTAAGGGCATTGAGATTGTCGTGAATGATACTTGTTTGGATACATTATTGCAGTACTTGCAGCAACCATACCGACGAAATATTTCTACTTAATACGGGTAAATAAAATTAGAAGTATTTATTTTAAAAAATGACCTGTCACTCATAACTAATGTACGAAGTCCACTATTTACCCACATACATCAATTCG